ATCTGGCCATTCGGGCCGGTAGTAATGATATTAATCTTAAAAGTAGTGAAGAAAAAAACGCATAAGTGACCTGTTGATTTATTTCGATTTCTCCAAAGTTTGTTTTTTTTAGCTCAAAGCCACATAACGAGTTATGTGAATTCTATCCATTGCAGAGGATCGAACCCCTGAATTTTAGCGTTGGAAATACATGAGTTTATCGTTGACCCCCAACGGGGGACTTTTTTTTTGGAAAGAAAACTAAAGTTGTATGTTTTATTTGCCAATTTTTTTTTACAAGCGTTAATGAGAAATAAAAAAACATTACGATGTCTTATTTAATAGATCTTTTATATAGTTACAGTACAGGTCTGAAGTTATTCTTTGTTTTGTCTTCTTCTAAGTTAGATAAAATCTGCTTGTGTACTATGAATAGAAACTACGTCGGAAGAACCCTTCAGTACGGTTGCTAATAATAGTGACCTGTAATACACAAGTGACGAGATAGGGATTAAAATAGACACCATTGATAAAGGCCTCAGTAAACGTATATGCAGCTCATTTGAAAGTTTAAATAATGTATTTTTGTGCCTGATTCTCTAATAAAATGTCGAAAGACTGCCATATATATCAGACGTGAAAAAAATAATCTTTTTTGTAAACAATTTTGTCTCTAAAATTGAAAAAAGCATGAGCGTTTGAAACAAACTTTTTTTTATTTGTTGTTATTATTAATGGACATATACGCTTAGTTAATCTTTGTGCCAAGACTCATTTGACTAGGTGAAAATATGAAGGGACTACAGGCCAAAATATGTGCTTTTGTAATGTTTGACCTTTGACTCTTAAAATCGGAACATATGATTTTCTTTAAGCGATTACCATTTCACATTCTGCCATTTTAATGTTGAAAAATAATGACTATTACTGCACTGATCGAACACTGCTAGTTTTATTTCAGATCCATTAGGTTCTAAGAGAATGCCCGATTCGCCAGACAGTAACACGAAGGTGGCGACCTCTAGTAGATACTTAGCGGGAACAATTGTAAATCACAAAATTACACCTGTCAATGGTAAGTTTAGTTGGGAAAATGTTAAGCAGTTTATTCTCGAATTACAACACACTACCTAAGTAGATAAACTTTAAAAAAAGTAGAAATTTCACCTGAAAAAGTCACATTCAATATGAAGTACAAATTATAGTACTTTGAAACTGATACTGCAGTCAAGAATATCATATAACTTCTTGAAATATTTGTATTTTATGGTTTTAAACAATAAAATTCGGTTCTCTTTAATTCCTTTAACTCTTAACAATTTTAGACATTTAATACATTATTTTTTTCAGTGGTTTCAATAATGTTTTATAACCTGGTTAATTAAAAATGACGCATTACTATTAAATCTTACAAAATGCTACTTTTCTATTGAAATTTTAGTGATTTCAAATCGCGTTTGGCGCCATCTTTCGTAATAAATGTCACCTATTACACTTACTTACTAAAGAGTGGTCTGCTTAGAAAGGAATTCTGACAAGCGCACCAGTACTAAGTATTAATACTAATAACCACTGAAGCGTTCCTAGTGTATTTACAGTATTCTTCAAACAATTACAAATAGATTATTTTCAACCATGTAATAATTTATATTGTGAACAGAGAATTACAACCAAATAAGAGATACTGATGTAAATATTCACAAGTATTTACTCTATTAACATACACACTTTCTCTCTCAGAGTGCATTACCGTTATTTCTAACCCTTACCCTGCATGTCAATAACTGTGCACGAATAAGGAAAGGGCTAATAGAATTGAGGTCGACCCCTTGTCTTGAAAGATATAGCCAATACAATCAGGCTGTTCGATAACGTTGCGTAGCCAGCATTGATATTTTTTACACTGTAGATAAGGTTTACACGTGGAGGCCAGACTAATGATGCAGTACCTTAACAGATAGGGTCGGAGTCTATTAGCAAGTAACTGTTAATGAAAGATATTTTTTTCTGTCGCCTTAATCTTATAATTTTAAATTACAATACTGCACATGTAAGACAATAAATTTAAAACAAAAACTTGAACAATGCTCGTTCATTCCTTTTAACATTCACACGTAGGCTGGGCAACATTTAGTTTGGTTATTATTATTATTACCTAGTAGTACGAAATTACTTCACGACACACGGACTATTTTAATCAACACTTATCTAATGTGTTTAATGAAAAAAAGCTGTGTTTTTATAACTCATTTTATTTTGTGACGTCTTAATCAGGGATTTACAGCAATCGTAATGTTTATGTTTAACTCGGTACTAGGTTTACAGAATGTCATTAATTAAAGCTAGCCACTGGGAGTAAAAAACATTTTGATAGAGTCTTATATCGGAACGTCGTATGAGCACTAAGCAACAGACTTGCGATGTCTCGTGTGAAAATCAGGCCGATTCGAGCACAGCAGGCCTTGTCTCAAATGTTGCAGGTATAAGCATTATTGGCAGTGGTATTACAGCGGCCACTTTTCTTTTCTGGCGCTTTATTTCGGTTTTTTTACTTACACTTATGAGCTGATTTAAAGTGATTCAGTTTTGCGCATGTCCAAACCCACGTTGTCAGTTGCCTTCTCGGTGCTTTAAACATATATCTTAGTACTAAGTAGGTTGATCTTACCAAGATAACACCAGTACTAAGTAGGTTGATCTTACCAAGATAATCTTACCAAGATAACACCCCAACCTACTTAGTACCGGTCTCTTACCAAGATAACACCAGTACTAAGTAGGTTGCTCTTACCAAGATAACACCAGTACTAAGTAGGTTGCTCTTACCAAGATAACACCAGTACTAAGTAGGTTGCTCTTACCAAGATAACCAACCTTTACAACATTATTTAAAAGTTATTTCTGTAAAACGTGATTTCCAGAGATTCTCCGGCCGCTATGTCTCTCTTGCCTCATCAGTTTCTTATGTCACCAAACCCACTGAATTTAGAAGTAATTAAGTGTTTTCGTTTTTAAATGAATGTGCATGTTTCTCTCATACGAAGAGAAACATTGAATTTTATGTTTATTTCTTTTCCTTTCCTCAAACAGTTACAGTTTCTCATTTCTGGGCTGATTCTTAAAACTTGGAGAACATATTCTTTGATTCAATAAGTCATACACTTTATTTAGTTATTACACCATTCCGATTTTAGGGAGTGAAAGTTCAAACATTACCAAAACATACTTTGACCTGTATTCCCTTTACATATCTTCCAAGTCCGATGAGACTTGGTACAATGATACCTTACAACGACCCTCCACACACAAACACCGACAACGATAAACAGATTTTGGAATTTGTGCCTTTTTTTCTTTTAATTTTACAGGGGTCAAAGGTAAAACACCCCCACCAAAAATGGGAATTTGGATCTGTTATTTTTATATTTCGACCAATCCAGATGAAACTTTACATAAACACATTTCATGAGCACTCCCACAGACTGAAGTAGACAGGAATAAGATTTGTGCTTTTCTTTATATTTTACAGGAGGCAAAGGTTAAAAAGAAATGTGCACAGTTATATATTGAGGTCTGGCACTTTAAGAAAGCCTTCACAGACCAAAATAGACAGATTTAGTATTCGTACTTTTCTTTCGATTTTACAAAGTTCAAAATATTTCCTTTACATTTCGACCAATCTCGATGCCAGTTGCTTAGATATACCTTGTGACAGTCTACATAATCTGAAGCAGACAGGGGTCAGAATTAAAAACAGATGTAAACGTTACAAGGGGTTGTTATTCATTGTGTTTTAATCTACACAACACATTAATTTGCGTATACTTCGTCGAAGACTCAGTCTTATTTGTCCAAATATTACACGTAAAGTTCTTATCATTATGAATAAATCTATTTACGTAGAAACTGACGGTCTTACGCGTTATAGGGTCACAAGTCAGTATGCTCTAATAAGTCTTTCTCACAAAGAAGTCTTAAAATTGATACTGAGCTAAGTGTCTGTCACTTTGAAGGTGATGGGGAAGACATATTGCATTCGTTCGTGAATGATAACCTTCAACGTATTTCTGTTTATATCAAGTGTAAGAATCATTCAATATGTTCGACTTTCACAACTTTCAACTTATTGTTTTTACTTCTACAGACATGAACGGGACTCTGTCTCCTCATACGTCAACCGGGGGAGGAACTCCCTCTCCTCCTATTTTGACTCTCCCTTCAAACTTGCCAACCCCTACAACTGCGCCTGTGGTTAATCAAGGAGATACCGTGTCTTCTGGAGTCCGTCAACTTAGTAAACTAAAGAGGTTCTTGACCACTCTCCAACAGTTTGGCAGTGATATATCCCCTGATGTCGGGGAAAGAGTACATAATTTAATTCTTGGACTTGTGGTAAGCAGCCTAACGTAGGTTTTAAGTCTTGGTTGTATTAAGTTTTGGGTGAAGTTGATAATTCATATATATATATATATTTATTCTAAGAGCAAGTGTCTGCGACAGAATGCTCAAGTTTATCGTAAGTCGTTATTTAATTCTCTTTTATTTGCTATCTTACCGTAGTTTGTTTGTTTGTTTTGAATTTCGCGCAAAGCTACACGAGGGCTATCTGCGCTAGCCGTCCCTAATTTAGCAGTGTAAGACTAGAGGGAACCACCACCTACCGCCAACTCTTGGGCTACTCTTTTACCAACGAATAGTGGGATTGACCGTCACATTATAACGCCCCCACGGCTGAAAGGGCGAGCATGTTTGGTGTTACGGGGATTCGAACCAGTGACCCTCAGATTGCGAGTCCAGCGCCCTAACCAACTGGCCATGATCATGTAATAAAATGTAGACTTCTTTCTATTGACTGTTCAATATTACACTACAATCTTATGATAAGTGTAAGTGTTAATGACGCACTTCTAACACATTCTACAATCAATTGATATTTAAATTTAACATTTAATTATATGTAATTTTACGCAAACTTCGTAAAATTTTTTCTAACTACGAAATTATTCTAAAAATATTTTCAAACGTCGAAAAAAAGTGTTGATAACATTGCCCAAAAGTGTTGATAACATTACCCAAAAGTGTTTATAACATTACCCAAAGGTGTTGATAACATTACCCAAAAGTGTTTATAACATTGCCCTTTATTATTGACTATTCCACACGTGGTCATGAGAAACTGCCTTTTTTTTTCCTATCATAAAATTCAGTTTGCGAAAAAAAAACTGTTACCATGCTACACACACCATTAATTTTTATCGAAAGTTTCTCCTCACTCAGAAAGATAATATAGCGTATTTCAACAAAAACCCGTGAAAAAAACAATTACAGCGTCCGTTTGAGCTGAGTGATAAAAGTAAACAATTCCACGAGTTATTTTGTTTGATAAGTAGTTCTGTCAATAACGTGTAATATACTACAAGAGTAATTTCAAAATGCATAATGAATTTTGGTATTATTTCGTTGTTTGCTTGTTGTTCAGCATTTTAAAGCTGCACAATCAGCTAACTACCTACCTGTGCTGTATCCACCGCAAGAATTTAACCCTGAATTTATTGGTTATAAGCCCTCAAGATCACCTCTCAGTCATGAAGAAGCAATGGTAATGTAGCCCCCTCCCCAGTGGCACAGTGGTAGGTATGCGGACTTATAATGCTAGAAACCGGGTTTCGGTACCCGTGGTGGGCAGAGCATAGATAGCCCTTTGTGTAGCTTTGTTCTTAATAACAATCAAACCATCAGAGTATGAAAATAAACATGATCAGAATGACAACGTTCAGCAAAATCTGATTACGTCTGTTCATTAAAAAAGAAAAGAAACAGTTGTAGGTCTTGCGACAAAAACAAAATACACATTTCATGAATCTCTGACACCTAGAAATCCCTGTAGAGCAGCATGCGCCAAAAATAATCGAAGCTTTTAAACATTTAGGTGGTGCGATTCCTCCCAAACAATTAAAATAACCCCCTGATTAGCTAATACGACTGTTTGAAAATTTAGCAGCAGCTAATAGGCCATCTTGAATAATCAATTTTTTTTTAGAGATTAATCCAAATATTTTGCTAATGTAATGAATATGAATCTCAATTGTCAAGAGACTAGATAGCAGTTAAATATTGCAAATACCAGTCTTGACAAGTGAGACTCATATTCATTATTTAACTGCTATCTAGTCTTTTGACAGTTGAAGTATTTGCATTATTGAACTGCTATCTAGTCTTTTGACAGTTGAAGTATTTGCATTATTTAACTGCTATCTAGTCTCTTGACAGTTGAAGTATTTGCATTATTGAACTGCTATTTAGTCTCTTGACAATTGAGATATTTGCATTATTTAACTGCTATTTAGTCTCTTGACAGTTGAAGTATTTGCAGTATTTAACTGCTATCTAGTCTCTTGACAGTTGAGGTATTTGCATTATTGAACTGCTATTTAGTCTCTTGACAATTGAGATATTTGCATTGTACAACTGCTATTTAGTCTTTTGACAGTTGAAGTATTTGCATTATTTAACTGCTATCTAGTCTCTTGACAGTTGAGGTATTTGCATTATTTAACTGCTATTTAGTCTTTTGACAGTTGACTAGATAGCAGTTAAATAATTCAAATATTCAAGCACGATATCTTATTATAAACAGGGTAAACAGTATTATTTTCTTTCTATTTGTATGTGCAGAATTCTTCTATTACGATTGAAGAATTTCACCGAAAGATTCAGGACGTGACAAATTATCCTCTTCGTTCGTTTGTTATACCTTTTCTTAAAGTAAGTGTAAGTCTTATACATGTATATTAGTCTACCTTATGTTAGATAAGATAGAACTTGTAAGGATGCTAATCGAATGATGTAAATTCAGCATGAATAATCTGCACGTAATTGTGCGAACAATTCTACTTTAAATGATAAACATCTATTTGGTTAGAAATCCCTTTTTTGTCTTTCAAAACTGCATATACTGAAAGCTGAATTCAAAAGAGAAAATGAGAAGTGAAACGTGGATATGTTTCTTTCAATACGATTATTTTTGTATTTGATTTCTTGCATTTTGCTAATTTCTTAATTTATATGATAATTAGAGAGAATTTAAATTTTGCTTTACTTTCTACTAAATATTGTTATTTCATGATTAAGATTAATTAAGAGAAAAGTAATTAAACAACAAGTAATATTCTTTCAAATAAAACAGGCTTAACTATTTAGGACTTTCTCTTCTTGATAATGAGTTATAGCCATAAACAGTAACCAGAATTTTGAACCCAGAAATCTCTCATCTTTTATTCGGTTAATAATGAACGAACTGTTCTGTTTTGTTAATTTAATTTATTTTTAAGTATTATGAATCAGTTCCTCTTCGCTATTAATTTTTGTGATGGTTTTAAATTCCTTTTACTTATGAGTTAGTTACTATATGTATCAAAACTTGCATAATCAACGTAAAACTATTACTATTATAGCATCATTTTTTAAAAGGTTTTGGTTTTGGTTTCAGTTTCACTTACCATTGCTACAGACTGAACTTGCACAGTTTGCTAGACACGCTCAACAAACACCTCAACAGTATCTTCGACAGCACGAAAATAGTCTGTTGGATGCTCCAGTTTCCTCTAACGGTGAACCTTTGGAAATATTTCAAACCGAAACAAAAGAAATAGGAAAGAGACGCAGTCCTTCAGACGTGTAAGACTAAATGAAACATATACATAATAAAAATATTAATAATTCTGCTGCAAATAAAAAAGTACATCATGAAAACATTAATAATTTCTGCTATCTCTCACCAAAGTGTTTTATTAGGAATGATTCTGTTTATTTTGTAGACACATCTACAAGTTGTTTGATGTAATATTCAACTGATTTTTAACGTGTGATGGAAAGTTGTAAAACGAACAGCAGGAAATATATTTTAATTTTAGAGCATACATCCCATAGTTATTTGTAATATATTAATATATCTTTAATAAAAAATAATTAAAAAACAGACTTAACTATCCACGTCTTTCTCTTATTGATAATGAGTTATATTTTTCATTCACATTGCTATAAATATTATCCAGAATTTTGAAAATAGAAATCGTACGTTTTATTAGGCCTTAAATAAAATTATGTTCCTATTAAGTTATTTATTTTTTTGCGAAGCAATCGTCTGAAAAAGAATATATTTTATTAATTGAAATTAAAAAGTTATGTGAACAATTTAGTAAAATATACATCATTTACGTTGTGCTAAAATTAAGTCAAATAAATTCGTATTTAATGTATTCCACAGGAGATCCAGTGAAAATGGTTACAGCGATAGAATATCAGAAAGTCCACCCCCCGCAAAACGACATCAACCTTCACCTAGTCCTACTATGGGCTCGAGGGTAAGCCCTGGTGTAACTAAAAATAACATTCATCCGAATATTAACTTCCGGTTCGATGAGCCAGGAAACATGTACAGAACAAGAGAAAGGGACCGTTATGAAAGATACGAGAGGGAATTCCATAGACCATACAACGGTTAGTTTGATATTGTAGAATATTAAAAGAAAAAACATTCTTTTTAAAAATTATTTTGTAGAAATAATTATGTTGTTAAGAAACATACGTTTAGCACTGTTTTCATCAAAACTGAAAAATAAAACTACTTGCAACTATTTAGGCCTGGCATGATGTGATGGTTCGGGCCCTCGATTTGTTATATTCGGGTTGAGAGTCTCGAACCCTGTCACTGAACATGCTCTTCTTTTCAGCCGTGTGGGTGTTATAATGTGACAGTCAATACCACTTTTTGTTGGTAAACAGGAGACCAAGAGTTGGCGGTGGGTGGTGTTGACTAACTGTCTTCCCTCTAGTCTATCACTTCTAAATTAGGGACGGCAAGCACAGAGCTCTCTAGTAGCTTTGTGCGAAATAAAACTAACTTGATTCTATATCAAAGTAATTAAATATTATTTTACAAATTATTACGTAGTTGCTTATTTGTTTTACTTCGCACAAAGCTACTAGAGGGCTCTATGCTTGCCGTTCCTAATTTAGAAATTTTAGACTAGAGGGAAGACAGTTAGTCAACACCACCCACCGCCATCTTGCTTCTTCGATATGGAAACACTAATTAATTGAAATTACGGCATTCTTGAATTTTTTTTTTTTGCTCAGGTTTATGATACAGATTTTAATTAAACAAAATATTTCAACTAATGCAATGTAACTAATATTTAGGTTAGAAATGTTGCTTATAGTCATTAGTAATTAATATATTACATCGCAATATCACTAATAATGCCCCCAGTGTCACAGCGGTATGTCTTCGGACTTACAGCGCTAGAATCCGGGTTTCGATACCCGTGGTGGCAGAGCACAAATAGCCCATAGTGTAGTTTTTCTGCTTAATTACATCATTATTTTTGCTCACATTACAAAACTATTGCTTGGAGCGCAAATTTAGTAATAAAAATGTCTGTAGTTTATAATTATGTGACTAACGTAGCTATGATATTTTATTACATACATCTGTATTTTTTTTATTTTGTACAGGAACATTACCTAGGGATTTCACAGAGGATAGAGAGATGGAAGAAGAATGGAAAAACATACATACAGTACGTTTGTTGCATTCCTTTGGAATTTATGTAAATAATAAAATTGTATCATGTTGGTACTTGTCTAACAACGCGTGTAACAACACATTGTTCTGTTTGTTTGTTAGAGGCGTTAGAAAACAAGTCTGCCACTAATACTAAGATGTTTTGTTATCTAGAAACTTCACGTTGTTTGTAATCAAAACTGTCACTTGTAAAGTTCATTAAGTCTCTTCTTTACCAGATGTGGCATCAATAAAGTCAAACCAGAACGTTCAATTTAATTATTATTCAGTAATACGCATTTTTTCTACTCAAAATAAAGTAATAAAAAAACAAACATTGTAAGTAATAGATAGTTGGATAAACGAACACGTGCCTAAATCTAATACGTTGGTTCTGATGAAATTGAAAAATGTTAATCACCAGTATTAAACTGTAAAACGAAATCTGATTTGGGGATATCTTGTATTATTCAAGATATATTATGAAACACTTTGTTGTTGGACAGGATTTAACTTAATATTTACATATATATATATATATTCTCGTATAGAACTAAATAAATGAAACATTCAATTTTTGCTGGATAAATTACAATTATCATTGATTAGGGACATAGTTGCTATGATATAGTTGGTCATAATTTAAACTTGAAACGTTTATCCTTGATAAATAATAAAATACAAGAGTTGCAAGGATAACGGATTGAAATGTAACCGTTGCAGATGCTGAACTGTATTTTGGGAATGGTTGAAAAAACTAAAAGTGCTTTGGCCATCCTGCATCAACGGAGTCAAACTGACAGAAGCGACTATAATTTGTGGGGACGACGACATCTGGATAGCTCTGATTTTGAGTTGAAAAAACAGACCAGTGACATCATGATTCATTATAAGTCTGCTGAGGAAAGGGTATCAGAAGTCAGAAGACGAGCAGGTATATAACCCTTATAACTCATTGATATTTTACTTCATTCATATACATCATAAATGAAGTGAGTGATGTGATATTGATTTTGAAAAGATGGTCAACCATGCAGTCTATTATTTATGTTTACAAATGTATTTAAATATTGGTTAATCATGATTTAAAATTTGATTAGATTTTAATAGTAGAGAGATGTAACATCTTTTCCCTGGTGGATTTATGAGTAAGTGCACTTCATCAGTTGACTAGAACATGGATTTCCTTGGTTATACGCTTAGTCGGCTAGCAGAAACGTGGATTCGTTTGTTATTAGGTCTAATTAATTATCAAAGACGTGATACCGTTAGTTAGTGCTTGTTATTGGTTAACAGAGACGTAGATTCGTTTGTTAGTAGACCTAGTTAATTATCAAAGACGTGGTACCGTTAGCTAATGTTTATTATTGGTTAACAAAGATGTAGACTCATTGGTTAGTAGACCTAGTTAATTATCAAAGACGTGGTACCGTTAGCTAATGTTTATTATTGGTTAACAAAGATGTAGACTCTTTGGTTAGTAGACCTAGTTAATTATCAAAGACGTGGTACCGTTAGCTAATGTTTATTATTGGTTAACAGAGATGTAGACTCATTGGTTAGTAGACCTAATTAATTATCAAAAACGTGGTACCGTTAGCTAATGTTTATTATTGGTTAACAGAGACGTGGATCCCAATACATCTCGTCCTGTTTTCACTTTTCATGAAAATTTCTTCAGATGCTATTTCAGAGAACTTAAGTTTTAAGAGCATATGACGTGTGTGCTTATTCTGTTTGCTGAGATCCAACTTATCAAACCATTTCATTCCTCAGACAAGAGACTAAACACGAGTTTCTATATAGAAACTTTTCTTCAGTCGATTAGTGATAAAGCGTTTTATGTCAGACACATAAATATAATTCGAAGAAAGAAGTACTTGTGATTAATTCAGATAAATCCCAGTTACGCTAGCGAAATAAATAATAAACTATTTACTAAGAAATCGTAAAATGCGACTATACCGTTAAAACTTCAGTTTGAAGTATTGGGAGACGAATCTCTACCGTTATTGGAAGAACGTGTCGTAAACGTTAAAATTACATACATGTATATTTTATATTTATGTATTGGCACTTGTAGCTTTATTATTTAGTTTTTTTATGTTTCAGGTATTTAAGGAATAATAGTAACGATACGCTACTTCACTTGTACCCTCTAACTTCATAAAACTGGAAAACTCAAACCAGATCATCATCGGTATTCCTTGCATATTACCAAATAATAATTTAATTTCGGATAGCTGTTAATAACTACTTACCGAAATGATTTCATCCTTTTGATTCCAGAAGAAGCTGTCAATGAAGTGAAACGGCAAGCTGTTGCTGAACTACAGAAGGCCGTTTCAGCAGCAGAAACCAAAGCTAGCGAACTCGTAGCAACGGAAAGAGCCAAGATGGAAAAGCTAATTGAAGAAGCGAAACGACAAGCAACCGAAGAAGCTCTATGCAAAGCCAATAAACAGGAAGATTGTACTGAAGTGAGTTGAATAATTATCTAGATCTAGAGATACATATGCAATATTATTTATAAGGCAGCAAATACACATAGAATACACTTAGAGTATGTATCGAAGGTGTAAATGTTTCCTGGAGTCCATTCTTAATATATGAACTGATCTTTATTTTCTAAAGGCTACCCTATTATTTTTTTATTATTACGATATGATTAGGAAATTCTCTTTTTTTTAAAGAAAAACTTCCCTTTAACCTTGATTATTATATTTTTGATTAACCAATTTATTAATGCACACTTATTACCAAATACATTTATATGTCATGGCCAGGTGGTTAGGGCGCTCGACTCGCAATCTGAGGGTCGTGGGTTCGAATCCCCGTCACACCAAAAACATGCTCGCCCTTTCAGCCGTGGGGGCGTTATAATGTGACTGTCAATCCCACTATTCGTTGGTAAAAGAGTAGCCCAAGAGTTGGCGGTGGGTGATGATGACTAGCTGCCTACCCTGCTAAATTAGGGACGGCTAGCGCAGATAGCCCTCGTGTAGCTTTGCGCGAAATTCATAACAAACAAACACTTATATTATAAGCTTTTTAAGTTTTATCTGAAAAAAAAACAGTTGAATTTTAAACATGATAAAAATTATTGCAACATTTACGTTCTTTGGTAAAACTTATAAAATCTGTAGCTTATTTCATTCATCCGGGCCCCAGTGGCACAGCGGTCTGTCTGCGGACTTACAACGCTATAAATCGGGTTTCGATACCCGTGGTGGGCAGAGCACAGATAGCCCTTTGTGTAGCTTTGTGTTTAACTACAAACAACAACATCATTCATCCGTCCGGTTTTTTGAATAATCGAATAATTAAAATAAACTGAAAAGATGTAACAGCCACATACAAAATTTCCGGATCTTTTTTTTTTTTTGCTACAAAGGGCTATGAATTATATAGACATGTTTAACATTATATATGACATTCATTTGTCGATCGTTCAGTGTTACCACAGATAAATTTATACTTGAAGTCGTTTGGTGATGGTGGAGAGACATTCTGGGCCCTCTTGTGCTCATGGTCGACCCTAAGGTGTGCCCACATCTGATTCCTCTTATGATGGTGGATTGTTTGACGTTAGAATACTGTCTGTTCCATTTTTTCATTCTATACCAGGGGTCACC